AAACCAGTATAAACCAGTATAAACCAGTATAAACCAGTATGCACAAGGGTAGATCAGTAGGGGCTGGTATAAACCAGTATGGAGCAGTAGGGACCAGTACTGACCAGTACGGACTGGTATAAACCAGTAGGGACCAGTATGGACTGGTATAAACCACTATGGACCAGTACTGACCAGTACAGACCGGTATAAACCACTATGGACCAGTACTGACCAGTACAGACCGGTATAAACCACTATGGACCAGTACTGACCAGTACAGACCGGTATAAACCACTATGGACCAGTACTGACCAGTACAGACTGGTATAAACCAGTATGGAGCAGTACTGACCAGTACAGACTGGTATAAAACAGTATGGAGCAGTACTGACCAGTACAGACTGGTATAAAACAGTATGGAGCAGTACTGACCAGTACAGACTGGTATAAACCAGTAGGGACCAGTAGGGACCAGTATAAACCAGTATGGACCAGTACTGACCAGTATGGACCAGTATAAACCAGTAGGGAGAAGTATAGATCAGTAGGGGCTGGTATAAACCAGTATGGACCAGTAGGGGCCAGTATAAACCAGTATAAACCAGTATGGACCAGTACTGACCAGTACAGACCGGTGTAAACCAGTAGGGACCAGTATGGACCAGTACAGATTGGTATAAACCAACACAGACTAGTATTGACCAGCATAAATCAGTTCGGACCAGTATAAACCAGTATGGACCAGTAGGGGCTAGTATAAACCAATTCACACCAGGATAAACCAGTTCAGACCACTACAGACCAGTATAAACCAGTTTGGACCAGTAAAAGGGCTTGGTGTCCAGTGGACCCTCTGGGTGTCCCCAAACCTCAAAATGTCCCCCCATCCCCTGGATGTCCCCCCATTCCCAAGTGTTCCCATGTCCCCAAATGTCCCCAGGTGTCCCGAAATGTCCCCAGGCTGGGGGTGGTGCCTGGTGTCCTGCAGCTTCCCTGAGTGTCCCCAGAAATGTCCTCTGGGTGTCCCCAAACCCCAAAATATCCCCAAATCTTCTGGGCGTCCCCCCATCCCTGAGCATCCCAAATGTCCCCAATTGTCCCCAAATGTCCCCAGGCTGGGCCGCAGCGATGGGGACGGAGCCTGGTGTCCTGCGGGGCCGGTGTTCCCGGCTGAGCAGGAGTTCCTGGAGGTGGACCTGGGCCGGCTGCACCTGGTGACACTGGTGGGGACACAGGGACGCCACGCGGGGGGACACGGCCGCGAGTTCGCCCGGCAGTACCGGCTGCGCTACAGCCGCGACCGGCGCCGCTGGCTGCGCTGGAGGGACCGCTGGGGTGACGAGGTGGCCTTGGGGACGTCGCGGGGGGTTGGGGACATCAGGGGTGACAAGGGGATTTGGGGACATTGGGGGTGTTAGGGGTGTCGGGGACATTGGGAACGTCAAGGGGATTTAGGCACATTGGGGAGATTTTGGGACTTTGGGGGTGTTAGGGACATTGGGGACATTGTGGGGATTTGGGGACATTGGGGGTGTCAAGGGGATTTGGGGACAGTGGGGACCTCAAGGGGATTGGGTACATTGTGGACATCAAGGGGATTTGGAGAAAATGGCGGTCTTGGGGGCGTTGGGGACATGGGGGGTTTTGGAGACATTGGGGGATTTGGGGACATTGGGGACATCAAAGGGATTTGGAGACACTGGGGGGATTGGGGACATTTGAGGACACTGGGGGATCGGGGGATATTGGGAACATCGAGGGGACATTGGGGACATTGTGGAGCCAAGGCCATGGTGGACCTGAGGCCATCATGGGCTTTGGGGACATTCTGGGGACCCCGGGCTGTGACAGATCCCGATAAATCCCTGGGATCTCCTCGGCTGACGCCACCCTCGGGTGCCACTGGCCGCGGTTGGTGTCACCTCAGGTGATCGGTGGCAACGAGGACCCTGAGGGGGTGGTGCTGAAGGACCTGTCCCCGGCGCCGGTGGCCCGGGCGCTCCGGGTGTACCCGCGGGCGCCGCGCGCCATGAGCGTCTGCCTGCGCCTTGAGCTCTACGGCTGTCCCTGGGAGGGTGAGTGCCACCTCCGTGACACTTACCTGTCACCCCTGAGTCACCCTGAGTCACCCCTGTCCCACCCCGCTGATGGCCCTAAAGGGGTGGTGGTTGCCCATGGTCATGTCCTTCACCCAACAGCCCTTGGCGGTGGTCCTGGGGCATCTGGGTTGGGGTCTTATCATTGTGGAGTCAACGGTTGGGTGTTGCGGTCAATGGTTGGGTCATGGGGTCAATGGTTGGGTGTTGGGGGCAACAGTTGGGTCATGAGGTCAATGGTTGGGTCATGGGGTCAATGGTTGGGTGTTGGGGGCAACAGTTGGGTGATGAGGTCATCCATTGGCTGTTGGGGTCAACAGTTGGGTCATGGGGTCAACAGTTGGGTGTTGGGGTCAATGGTTGGGTCATGGGGTCAACGGTTGGGTCATGAGGTCAACGGTTGTGTGTTGGGGTCAATGGTTGGGTCATGGGTTCAACGGTTGGGTGTTGGGGTCAATGGTTGGGTCATGGTGTCAATGGTTGACTGTTGGAGTCATGCATTGGCTAATGAGGTCAGTGGTTGGGTGTTGGGGTCAATGGTTGACTCTTGGGGTCATTCATTGGGTGTTGGGGACAACAGTTGGTTATTGGGGTCAACAGCTGGGTCATGGGGTCGTCGGTTGGTTGATGACATCATCCACTGCATCATGACATCATCATGGCCGTCCCACCCCCCCATCCCACCCAGTGCCACCTCTTGGGTGTCCCCAAAGGAGTGGTGGCCCTCCATGGCCACGTCCCCCCGTTAACCTCCTGGTGACCCCATGGTGACCTCATGGTGACTTCATGGTGACCCTGTGGTGACCCCCTGGTGACCCTGAGGTGACGCGTCCCCATCCCTGTCCCCAGCCGGGCTCTTGTCCTACACGGCCCCGCGGGGACATGTCATGGCCCTGGATCCTGTCCCCATCGTCCTCAATGACTCCACCTACGACGGCTTCAGCGCTGGCCCGTGAGTCCCAAAGTGTCCCCATGTGTCCCCTGGTGTCCCCCAGGTGTCCCCAGGTGTCCCCATGTGTCCCCAAGGACCACCTGCCCCAAGAATTCCCAAATTTCCTGGATCCAACCCCTCCCCAGGTGTCCCCAAACTGTTCCAGGAGCTTTCCAGATGCCCCCAGCGGTCCTCAAAGTGTCCCCAGGTCTCCCCAGGTGTCACCAAACCATCTTCAGGTGTCCCCAGATTGTTCCAGGATGTCCCTAGGTGTCGCCCCCCAGGTGTCCCCAGACTGTCCCAGGTTGTCCCATGGGAGTCCCCAGGGGGGTGGAATGGGACAATCCCAGTGTCCAGGTGTGTCCCACCTGCCCAGGTGTCACTGGGGGGTTCCCAGGTGTCACCGAGGGATCTCCAGGTGGGTGGGACAGGACAATCCCAGTACCCAGGTGTGTCCCACCTGCCC